ATGCTCCATGCTTTTACTGTAGGAATGGTGTTATTTGGATAGTGAGCTGTATTGGATTTCTGCCAGACATATTATTTGGTATTGAGGCCATATATTTAAATTTTAGTCTCATCTGACCAGAACACCTTTTTCCATGTGGCCTCAGAATCTTTAACCACTTCCAGACCGGACTTTTTACCCCCTTCCTGACCAGGGCAATTTTCAGCTTTCAGCGCTATCACACTTTGACAATTGCACAGTCATGCAACACTGTACCCAAATTAATTTTTTACCATTTTTTTGAGACAGATAAAGCTTTATTTTGGTGGTATTTATTCACCGCTGGGATTTTTATTTTTTTTGCTATGTAAATGAAAAAGTCCAAAAATTTTGAACAAAAGTGTTTTTTTTATAAAATTTTGCAAATAAATAATATTTCATCATAAATCTTTGCCAAAGTGTATTCCGTTATCTTTGTAGTAAAAAAAAAAAAAAAAAAAAAAAAATTAGTTTATAACCAAAAATTATAATTTTTAAACATTTTTATTTTATTTTTTTAGATCATTATTTATTTATTTATTTTACATACTGTCACCCTAGCAGTACAGTGTCACCATGGTGACACTGTACTACTTGTGGGGGTAATGAAGATTTTTTTTTTTTTACACTGATTGCTTTTACACCCATATAGGATGTAAAAGCAATCATTTCTCTTTCTCTCTGTCTGCATTCTTGCAGTCATTGAGAAGTACTGAGTGAGCTGTGATTGGTCACAGCTTGTCACATGGTACAAGCCTGTTGTGAATAGCCTTGTGTACCATGTGACCTCTGTGATCATTCACAGATTTCACACGTAGTAAGCAATGATGTCACAAGTGACATCTTGCTTACTACTTTGCATGTGATCACTGATTGGCCAATCAGTGATCATATGATCGGGACCTCGTACAGAGGTCCCGTCCAACGATCGGTGTTTCACTGTGTCCGGAGGACACATCGGGCACCGGATTGCGGTGCTTCGCGCTCCCAGGGAGCGCGCACAAGCAGGGTGCAGGGAGGTCGTTTATGAACAGCCACCCGACCCTGCACTGCCACCGTCCGGCCGTTTATATGCAACGGCCGGTCGGGAAGTGGCTAAGGTGTATTTTGGCAAAGCTCAGTCATTACTGAATGTGGCCTTTCTTAAGGCTTGGCTTTTTTTTTCTTACTACCCTCCCATACAAGCCACATTTGTGGAGAATTTGTGATATTGTTGTCTCATGCACACAATGACCACTATTTGTCATAAATTCCTACAACTGCTTGGTAGCCACTCTGACCAGTTTCCTTCCAGCTCTTTCATCCAGTTTGGAGAGACATCTTGATCCAGGGAGGGTCTGTGTTGTACCAAACACCTTCCACTTCACTATGTTTCTAGGCATTGGTAAAGCATTTGAAATGTTTTCGTTTGCATCTCCTTACTTGTACCTGTCCACAATTTTATCCCAGAAATCTTTTGACAGTGCCTTGGACTGAAATGCTCCAGGAAAGCTCTTTTCATGCCGAGTTAATCAAAATGACCAGGGCTGATCACAGTTGAAAGTCAAATGGCTTTGTGTGCCATTGGGAAGGTGATTTAGCTACATCTGAGTTTACAAGTCAATTTTAGGAGGGGGTGATCCTTTTTTTATTTATTTATTTAATTTTATTTTCTTATCTTGTTCTGACATGTTGGTGTTATAGCTTTCACTTGGATGTTATAGGTTGCACTAAGGAAATACAGCTGGATAAAACAAAAACCGTGTCTGTCTTCATTTCAGGCTGCAAAGCAACAAAATGTGATTTTAAAGAGGGCGATTTTTTTTTCCTATACTCACTGTATCTGAGCCTAGGTGATCAAAGATATATTGTCCTTACATTCCAGTCTGCAACATTGGTAACGCATAAAATGTTTTTGTCAAGGGCAATTTTACATGATTTCCAGAGAGACACAGATGCTGAACCTGTGTACCTAAAGTGGTAATAAACCAAAAATGTAATCTAGTGCAGCTTACAAATCATTAGATGTGGTGGCTGCATTAGTTTTTCTTTTGTTTCAGGCCTTTTTTTGGTGATCTTGCCAATAAACGCACCTCCTGCATTAGAGAGTGCCCTCACTCTGGATTAAAAAAAAAAAAAAAAAAAAAAAAAAAAAAAAAAAAAAAAACGGGGCATCTTTGGACAGCAGCAATGTCAGTCTGGGGGGAATGTTAGATGTGTTAGCAGATTTAGATACAACTACAAAATTAAAGCTAAATTCCAGCTAAAACTTTATAAGCAGTTGCAGCAATCCTTTTTCTTTTTCTTTTTGGGATAAACGTTTTACATAAATAAACGAAGCTGATCATTGTAAGCACCCTTGTCCGTGGTAAATGGTTAGTCTCAACCCCGTAACTGCTACGTCTGCAGGAGTGCTTATTCTTTTGAAAAACAACAGGCTTACTGGCCACATCACCAGGTGAAAATAAGGGTAAGGAGGACTAAAAAAAGAAAACAAAATCACATCTAAGAATTGGCATATTGCAAAACTGCAATATAATATAGATTTGCGTTTAAGTTTAATACCACTTTAACCACTTGTCCTCCAGAAGATGTACCCCACTTCCTGACCAGGCCATTGAAAAACAGACTTACTGCTCAGATCACC